AACCCTCTGGATCGTCGAAGTCGGGCTCCTCGTCAAAATTTGGCTCCTCATTATCACTTTGAGGTTGAGGGTTCACTTTCTCGTCTCCTTTTTTCTTGGCCATTTTAACGATATAACGTGTGTAACAGGAAGACACGCCATTAGGGAATGAGCATAGAGAACATTTTTTTTACTTTCACTCGCAAGTCAAGAAGTTACGTTTAGTTAGTACCAAAAAATATTTGTTTAAAAGTAAAATAAATTTATAAAAAGAAACATCAATTTTAATTCATTTTCAATATTATTTTTACATTTATATTAATATAATTAACTAATCATGTTGCTCAAATTAATTATTTTGGTTATTAAATAATGTTTCAAAAGTACTTCCATTAAAACGATCAATACGTCGAATGACACCTGAAAATCCATAGACTAACAGAAATGGCGCGAATAAGTCGAAGTTTTAAATTTGTTATTAGCAGTATTCATATTGCAATTTTGCAAGAAGAATTCGTTGTTTTTATAGTTATATAGAAATGAACTAACAATTTTATATATAAAGAAATCAAATATGTATTTAAAAAAATAACGATAGAATATACGAGTATTTAGCTATATTGTACCTCATTATGTTCACCGAAATACGTACACACGGCTACACATCAAGCTTCACATAACCAGTATAAACTGAACGTTAAATGTGCGGAAAGATGATACGACGCGACACCAGGATATATTGGTTATGTATAGATTGATGTGTGGCCGTGTATACCTACTGAAATTTTCTGTTATGAATTTAATGAAAATGCATATACAACACATGTTATTAGACAAATTGGCTCCTAAAGGTATGATCTCTTATAATTATTTCTTCCAATTTCCCAATCGATAAATGCTTTAAATACCAAACCAACACGCAAACCTATGTATTACAGTATTAATAGATGAAAAGTTTTACGTCCAAATATTCAAACGCTACTCAATTCTTAGTCACACTTAAAACTGACACGATAACTCCTAACTCTACGTGTGTGTCGTGGCATAATAAATAGTTTTTCTTGCTTTATTTCTAATAAAGACGTATTGATCACACTGCACCCATTTTCAATATACCATATACCATACAAAAAAAGACTATAGGTAGATTCTTCTACCTACTTATTTTAAAAAGGTCCATCCTTACTCATTCTATTTAAAACCTAACATTTTTAATTAGCTGCAACAACACGACATCTCGTGTACTCCGTAACAGATGAGGTGGCATTTATGGACGGCTGACGGGTCACCGCACATGAAAATTGAGGTCACGCCACATGCACCGACTGCGGGACTGCGTATAGGTGTGTTCAACTACAAACTAGCTGTATCAGTATAATACAGTACCCGGCAATAAATACTGCAGATCGACTTTTAGAGACTCTATTTTGAATTTTGTGGAATATTACCTAATATTTGGTTGCTTATGGGACGAGGTGCTTCGACCGCATCATAGCTTACCACCAGGTGAGATAGTGGTCAAACGCAGGTTTATCAAATATATTTTTTTCTTTGTCAATAGTTTTATGATTCCACGACAGACTAGAACAGTGCTCGATTGGTTTTAACGGGTGATTTTGGCAATCTGCAATAAACACGGCGACTTGGTTGATGGTTTGCTTCCATATGTCGATGTGCAATATTTATGGCCAGGTACTGCACCTATACTAAGACGTAGGTAACTGTTACAATAATGGTTAAACGCGGAGGTATGCGATACGAACGTGTTTCGATTAATTGACATTAAATTGTCTCGCCACTTGTAGACATTTTTGTCATCTACAGATTGCAGTTGCCGGAAATGTTTGCTTTTAGACAGATTCTTTGTACCTACTATTGTTGTTGAGTTATCTCACGTATTGGTACCTACCTAATGGATTGTTTTTATTTCAAGCCATAGAAATATTATGAAAGCTAATTTGCTGATGAGGAAAATAGAGGTGTAAATAAGTAAGTACTTAATTATGAATTTCAAATCGGCTAACAGCAACTAAAAATTGTACCTAAGTGCATCGAAAATTAATTAATTCAAAAGAATCCTGATATTATTTTATCCGACTGTAAAATTGAATGGAAATGCAGGTTTATTAGCAGCATGGCCCTAAAATCACGCAAATGTGTTTTTGCACATTATTTTATAGTTTATAAGACAATTTGTAAAAACAAATACATATAGATTACCTGTTGCAATTTGTGGTGTGTGGTTGGTAATAATATACGAAAGTCATCTCTCTGAACATACCGTTATACTTGAAAGACAACCTCAAAAGCTGGTAAGTTGGGCTTGATAAATCAACTGATACAGCAACATTTTTTTCACATGGTTTACTTCATCAACAACTTTTCTCGAAATTAAAGAAGTTTGTACTTGTAGGTACCTACCTACTTAACTGTAGTTTATGTCTTCCCGTCCATGATTATCTATCTATCCACATTGCTACTGTAGGTACTCATTCTAACAATGTTTTCTTACAGATTATAAATAGACAAGATATAAATGAAATGAAAACAAATAATGCAACCATCTACTTTGCTCTTAAATCTAAAAATATGAAACTACTATTATGTACACAGCATCTTGCATTCCTTAATGAGAAAAGTAATCCCCTTATCAGAGCATTTCATAACGCTTATCTTAGGCTTAAGTATGTAGAGGCAAGCTTGCCGCCATCACTTTCTACGGGCTTCGGGCTCCAAGCTTTATACAAGTAGGTCGGTACGCCAAAGGTTTTAATACTTCGCGTCTTTCGTCACAGACGGGCCACTGACCGATGTTGATTGTGGTTTGTATTGTGATTACTATGTTTGTTCTTTTCTAACTGGACTTTTTTGCTATGTTAAGCTTGTATTGTGTGGAGTTCAGAAGTTGACATTATTTTTTCTTTAGTGTAGTGTATGTTCTTATATATAGTTCCATACGTGGACTAAGCTTCAAAAATGTCTAGGTGAGCCAATTACAATTCTATATCACCACTTGTTTTTCCAAGATTAATCCTGAATCAGGAATATCTATACAACATGGGTATTTATCCCATCTATATTCGAGCATACATGAATGTAATAAGATCATGGACGGTTTATTACATAAACATTTCCAAGAAACCCGAATACATCTCGGTCCCTGCACACAATATACGTAGGTAGGTACATAGTTTTACGACTGACACACAGGTACACATGTTATTATTTACACCTTCACAACAAACACAGTTGTAATAAACCCGGTGATTAATGCTTATGCATAAAACGACGCAAACGCATGTTTGAACATTCTTCATTAATATTAGTCAAAATTTGTCGACTGTCTGGTATATACTTTGCTACTTTGACTAGTCTATAGGTACTCTAAGATCATCAATGCCGGATGGGGCCCAATACCAATCGGGCCGGTCCCGATACGGAGCCGCATAGGACTTAACGCGTTGCCGGGGCTCCGCCTCGACGTGCAGGAGTAGGAACAGGGTAGTTTTTAGTCAGTAAGAGTCTGTCACTCCCTCCCGCCTCACCTGGGCGGGAGAAGTCATTCGATGATTTTCCCCCTTTAAAAAAAAAGATCATTATATTAATAGACAGAATTCTTGTTAGTTTGGTAGCAGTAATATAGGTAATGTCACAAATCAATTATTATTAAAAGTTAGATAGCAATACAAATCTTACAAGTAGATAAAGTAAATCGAAAAAACTAAAAATCAAAAGAATACCGGTTAATTTTTTTACTTATCTGTTTACTGAATATGTTCCTTCCGGTACGAGATGGTTCTACATTTAACTACGAACAAATTGAAGCAAATGATTACAATGCACTGATGAATAGACACTGCAAAAACAATGATGCGTAGCAGAGAAATGTTCCCATGCGATTATTCTCTCGGAACAATCAAATAATAAGACAAACGGCCGGAAAATAGGGCGTACGGTTTACGTCATTTTCTTACGGTGTTCTTGTGATTGGCTCGGAAAACTGGGGACTGAAGCAAAATTTATTGAAAACTATCCGTCCGTATTTTTGTTACTATATGAGTATTTTGAACGTAGTAGACGAAATGAATAATATAATTTAGAAAAAAATAAAACACGCTGTCGATGAATTGCACAGTGTGCAATCGCACAGTACTTATCGTCACTAAGTATCTATCTCCTACCCAAAATTTTTAAACAAAACAACAATACCTATAAACTTTCCACTGACCTTAGAGCCTGTCGCCCACTATCACTGTGAACAATCTAATTTGAACCCTGATTCCGCTAATGTATGACTGAATGTTAGTTATCTATCCGTGTAAATTCAACTTTAATCAGAGTGCTGCTCACAGTTTACCTAGAAAGTTTAATAAATTGTGCATGACATAGTAGTCTTTCGTTTTAGATTACCTCACATGTTATTTTCTCAACAAAACCGTGATGTCATCCATGTTGCTGCTGGACAATGCGGCAATGCGTGACACAAAAACTATCTATAGTCCCTTAATCGATACGGGATTATATTCAGGGAATGATGTAACTGAAAATGGTAAGGTAAAAATGTAATTATTTACTAAAATGAATTGGTCTAAAATTTGCATACCTTATAACTTTATATAAGTTATGTTACGAACATCGAAATTCGGATGTAAATAGCGATGCGTAGAGTAAAGAAAAAAAAATAATAAGTGCATAGGGAGACTGGTAGGTACTTCCTAACCAACCTTATTAGCTAAACTTATTGAGTAGGTCTGTACTAAATGAATTATTTCTGTTTAAATAACACACACACACATAACATACATGACTTCACAATTGCATACTCAAGTATGCTAAGTCAGCTGTATAAACAGGCTGACATTGGGAGACAAAATAGTCTGAATAGCAATTGTTTCAATAAATTACTGTGTATGAATCTTAGATGTGACTTCAACTTAATTCAATATGAGTGCTAATGCTCTGAGGTAGTAAGCACACAACGCACGAGGGCCTATAGTTGTGAGGCAACCGAGGCAATCGCTCTGCTATTCGGATACCAAGCCCAGTCCAGTCAGTGCCTCCGCCATTGCGCCCGCGGGCCGCCGCGTTTCCCGCGTAACCGAACCACAGACAACATAGTGTTTCCCGAATATTCCCGCGCAAAGGTAATCAGTGTAGTACCGTTTTAATTATTTTGTGTTAAATACTTTTTTGTGAAGTGTTCCAGTGTGCCACATTAGTGCAGGTTCACGCGCATTGTTGCTCTTGTTATTTGTTTGCTTTGAGTTTGGAGTTCGTGCCCAATTTTTTTTGTTGTAGATACTTTACTACTTATTGAGATAAAAGGTGGGTAGAGAAGTAGAGATACACTAATTTACATTGAAGATTGAAATTATTTTGTAAGGAATCAATAAAGTATCAAAGATAAAATATTTATAATTTTCCGATGATCTAAAACTAACCGGTAAATATGAAGTTAGAACTACGTTTATAGTAACTTAAAAAATATATGAGTGCATGTGTACTCTCACACATGTAGGTATCACCAAACAGATTCGTTTCCAGTAGTTTATAGTAATAATAGTAGGCATATCATAATAATCCATAGAATAGATCGGTTGTAGGTAGATACCAATCTAAGTATAACTAGTTGAGCAAGTTTTTTTATATAAATAACGATCTTGCGAGTCTTCTCATAGTTCTCATACTACGATTGACATCATGAGATGAAACTCATTTGCAATTCAAAGCGATGTACTTATGTAGATAGGTAGGTACTATTGTGCATATCCCATTAAATTACAAATTACATATCTATCACATGCCTAAGTAAACTTTACACGTGGAGTATCGAATGTAATTTTAATTTATTAGCATAATACAATATTAATAGGAACCCTATATAAATTTCCTACTAAGTAATATATAATATTCTAAGGCGTAAGGCTTGCTACAATCTGTAGATTATCTACTTATACATCATATAAAAATCGTGTTAATTACTGCATTATGCAGACTTCAGATTGATTTTATTTTAAAGCTACCTCGGTTCCTAGACATCTAGATACAAGGGGATAATTATAATTTTTCGTATCTCCTTAATACACACCTATGCACGTGCAAAATGAGATCGTTAATATATCGCCAGTTTAGTAAATTAGTCCGATATTAAAGGGGGAGTATCGCCACAGTCCACAGTTTTTAGTATAATATCAGACCTCGTATTACAGATAATAATATAATTGATATTGCTGAAGATTTAGTAGGAAAGTAAATAAGTACTTAGTTTAATAAGTTAGTACTCCATAATACTTTAACCGCACCACACGCAGAGTAGCTGGAGTCCTGAAGGACGTGAACTCACGCCTTTTTTGAACAGGCTAAATATTGAGTTCTAGTATGTTCTTACATTACCTCATTAGTATTTGTCCACCTGATTATACAAACACCAGTTAAAAGACGGTATAGGCTAGGTACTCCACACCTGGCGTTTTTCCAATAAGTACCTACCTATATTATCTCCAATGAGGTCAGCGTTATGTAGGGGACAACTCCTACCGGCTGGTACCGGAGGTAAACTCTAACGTTTCTTGCTTATACTTAGTTAACATACTTTTTAAATACTGGTATTTTAAAGAGCTTTAGTGGACCAAAGATGAGTTTAGATCAGGTGGACCTCATCTTCGCTTGGAAGTTAGGTACCTATTCCCATTCTATCCCGGTGAATAACATTTTTTTCTTACAAAACTTGTTTCAAAAGTAACGAACAGAAATATTAAAAAAATATTAAATTATTTAATATATCTGTGGGTTTATCTTTTCTTCAGTTATTCAGAACTAAAGCGAGTATAAATATTAAGTATGTAGCCGTTTTTATTTTCATATAAAATTATACAACCACATACATTTCTGCACTACCCTAAGGATGACTGGCAGAGAATGCTGTTAGCATTAAGTCTTCCTTATGCAATTGTATAAACCTTAAATAAATGAAGTCGGTTAATAAATAAATAAAATAAAACGATATTTTCTAAATTCCCTAGAAGATGAAGTGGCTGTTCCTTCTGTTGGTGCTGGCCTTCGTCAGCGGAGAAGAGACCTGCCTCTCCGTGCTAGAGGAACCTTACTTCCTGTTCGGCACGAAGACTGCTTACACCTTCGCTAACAGGGTCATCCCTACAGCAAGAACTCATGATATACCTGGTAAGTTGATGAGATATATTTATTCTACACAGACTTGTCACTGAAATAGAGTGAGAAAGAGGTAGACAGTAGAGTGACCGCATGCAGTGGAATTGAAGAGATGTAGAACTCTACACTAAAGGTACTTACTGATACACATGCTAATTTCAAGCACCAAAGCATAAGTACTTCAATTGAACACTTGTCACTTAATTGGGATGATGACTGGGTATGAAAATTAAAAATCTAATTAGTCCGTAAGTTAGGTAATGAAAAAGTATTAGACAAGTATTTTTTTTATTTTGTTGTATAATAAAATAATATTTAGAACGAATCAAAGTTTAGGAGTGCGGGCTAAAACGTCATTTCTACGTATAAAATTTACATAGAAGTGACGTCACGTGACATTTCAAATCAATATATCGTCGAAAGTATTCGTTTCTGTAAGAAAATTAAAAATACGTGTCTAATGATTTAAAATAATTCACCAGACGGATATTACAATAAAAATTTGGCATCTACCCTATTGTGTCTAAATGTTGCCTAAAATTAGCAAGCTCGATTGCTCGAACCTTTATCATATAAAATTACAAAGAATTGACATACACCTTAGTTAGCCTAAGTAAAATTAAAATATGAATGCTCGTATTATAATTGTACCCATTAATATATAAATCGCGCAAAAATTATTGAAAACAAAGAATAAGCGAAAGAGTTATAAAGTACAATAATGATTGTCTACAAAAAATATATAACCCATAACATCTTTACCTAGCATCTAGCTAGGTTTAAGACCTATACCTATGACACTGAACTATGACTCATTACAATGCAGATCATATTCATAAACCATGCATCAAGTTAAGGTCATTAATCGTGCTGTCGTGTCATCAAGTCTTCCACGCGGACATTAATCCTGCACCGATTACAAAATTGTGTTATCAAAAGAAGTAAAACATGACATAACATTAGGTACATGAATCATCGAATTATTGGCAGGAAACGACCGGAGAACCTAACGGGTAACCGGGGCTCCGACTCGACGTGCAGGAGAAGGAACGGGGTGGTTTTTAGTCAGTAAGAGTCTGACACTCCCTCCCGTCTCACCCAGGCGGGAGCAGTCATTCGATGATTTTTCCCCCCTTAAAAAAAAATATATATATAGTTATAAATGCTAAAGTTTGTATGTTTGTAGGTATGTTTGTTTGTTTGTTACTCCTTCACGTCAAAACAGCTGAATGGATCGATATTAAATTTAGAACAGGGATACATCTTATATCTTATACTATTATATAAAGCGGAATAGTTTGTTTTTTTGTTTGTTTGTTTAAACGCGCTAATCTCCGCAACTACAAGCCTGATTTGAATAATTCTTTTTGTGTTGGATAGCACATTTATCGAGGATGACTATGGGCTATTAAACATCACGCTACGACCAATAGGAGCTGTGCAGAACGTGTGAAACGGCGCGGAAGTAGCTAGTTACTGATATATGGTCTGAAATATCACATCGGCTACTTTTTATCCCATGGAAAAACGGATGAAACCGCTGGTAGAAGCTAGTAGGTAATAAATGTAAAACCTTCCTTTGACCACCACATAATGAGTCCTATGTAGTAATAGAAAATCTATAGTAGGCACTAGTTACTGAGTTTATTTTACTTCTACACAAACGAATGGAAATAAGAATATAAACAAAGTCCATTACATTAAATATACGTATGTACATAAATTAAATAAATAAAAACGTATATAAGTAGGTATGTAAGAAATTAATCATATCTGATTAAAATCAACATACATGTCTTTTATGATTGATCGCTACCATTACTGTTAAAAACGTAAATGTAAGTGCAAAAGCACTCAGAAAAATGGAAAGAGAAAAACAACGGAAAATCGAATGATCGTTAGGCACCTACCATAAAAATATTATTACTCTTTGTTTTGTTTTATAGTACCTATCTAACTATATATAGGCATCATCAGACGTTAATTGAACGTTTCTTTTTTTATCGTACCTACTTATAAGAGAGAGAATAAAATATCACAATTAACTCATGCATGTTGTATCTGCACTCGTCACCCTTGCTTATTTCAAAATTCCTAAGGTGAATTAAAAATAATAATTAAACTGTCAAACACCAAGCGGTCACCGGTGACCGCAACCTATTGTTCTATAATTGTGTCTACATAACCGGTACTCGACGAGTTAAGAGGACTCCAATCAAAACCTAATCATTTTTCCTATTTTACTTTAATACTTATACAGATATCGGTTAATTCTTAGGTTCTTTCTATTATAGTCAGGATCTCATTGTTTTCTAAATCTTTACTTGGAACTTTCCTGTGCTCAGCAAAGCTACAACCTCAGTCTGTATTACAATGATTGAATTTGCTATTGGCTCGGTTACGTATAGAGAGAAATAACGGTACTCTATGGTGTAAAGCTATGTAGTTAGTTTACAATGGCCAGTCAATATTATTTCGTTTGTGTTTGAGGAAAACCACACATACGGTTATTTAATTCCATCGAGCCGGCTCAATGCAAGCCTTGCCTTAAGAGTTAAGAGTTTGCGATAAACATGTTCATGAAACTATTGTGAGACATACTAAATTCTAATACAGATCATACATACATAACTTCACGTCTGTGTCTTATGGGGGTAGGCAGAGACTTTGGAACGCCAATTGCTACGATTCTTACATACCTCTTTCGCTTCATCGCCAAGCCATATTTAAATTAATTATTGGCCATTTTCTAATTGACACCTGAACGGTAGCATCTGCTTATAATTGCTACACGCCTTGATAATTTCCACGCACCGACAGTGCACGTAAATCCTATTATGACGTCGGTAGCTTTGTTCTCAAGTCTAGATAGCTAGACCGTGTGTGATAGAACTATTTAACTAATTGTAGCCTGCACGAGTGTAGGCACTTAGCCAGGCAGGCGTGACATTGTGAATTCAGTAGATTTAATCTAGGTTAATGCTCGGTAAGGGACCTAATTGTATTAGGAGCTACAATGGATTTTTATCTATGGATATAATGAAGACAGAATTAGGTACACCTGATTTATATAGTAATGAGGTATAGACTGCCTCATTGGCAGAGTGGTTGCAAGTGCGGCTGCAAGAGGTCTCGGATTCGATTCCCGGGTGTCGGGCAAAGTATTAGTACTAAGATTTTTTTACCCGACTGCCAAAGAAGGAGGGTAATGTTTTTCGAGTGTATGTAAGTATGTATGTATGTCTTTTCCTTTGTGACCACCTGTAGCCTAAACGGCTTGATGGATTTTGATGTATGAGGTATCGTTAGATTTGTCTTGATTACGGGAGTGTCATAGGATACATTTTATCCTAAAAGTCCCACGGGATAAAGACATAATAATATTTTTTCTAAATTTCCCTTTAAAAAAATATGTATGCGGTATCATTAGATTCATTTCAATCACGGGAGTAATTAATATAGGATACGTTTTTTCTCAAAATTCCCACGGGAACATGTTAATTCTGCGTCAACGCAAAGCAACTCATGCGTTAGCAAGCAAAAAGATAGGGCGTGGCCTGGCATGCGGCGCGCGGCGCGGTGCGGAGGGGGATATGCTCGAGTATACAGCCCGATTGCGGGCACACGCATGAGGGCACACGTCGTTGACGGTCGTCTCTAAATAGCGATTTTATTCGATATATCCCTATTTGTATATATCGAAATAAAAACAGCTAAAAAGTTATAAATAAAAAAATTATTATTAAAAAAACAAAATACCCGACTGCACACTAAAAAAAGAGTAAAACAAGCCCCACAATAATATTGATCAATCAAATGCTAAAAACTAATTATGTAATACCGTTTAAACAATACCTATATTAAAATACACTACAATATGTGTTCGTAATCGATAGTTAAATAAACAGAAACTTATTTTGAATACAAATTTACTGAATATAATTTATAAATGTTGATGGAATGCATCGCAGGCGGGGACCAACAGAGGCTTATTTATAGTCATTTCGGTTGTGCACCATTTAGCAGAATTTTCGTTGGTGGCGGTCAAGGTGGTCCCCGCCTGCGATGCTTTCCATCAACATTTATAAATTATATTCAGTAAATTTGTATTCAAAATAAGTTTCTGTTTATTTAACTATCGATTACGAACACATATTGTAGTGTATTTTAATATAGGTATTGTTTAAACGGTATTACATAATTAGTTTTTAGCATTTGATTGATCAATATTATTGTGGGGCTTGTTTTACTCTTTTTTTAGTGTGCAGTCGGGTATTTTGTTTTTTTAATAATAATTTTTTTATTAAATCTTAGTAGTAGCACGGAGTCTGGAATCGTGCCCGGTATATGGCATTAGGCTCACTCCCTATTATATGGGACTCATAACATAAATAGTAAAAAGTGGATGTTACATTGTACAGTGGCATTAAGTGCCGTAATGTGCATCTCTGCCTACCCCTTCGGGGACAAAAAGCGGTATGTTGTGATGATTAGATGAAACCATAGCTTATGACAGTCCACTGGTGGATTATGGATGGCCCGTAACGTAAGTAGGTTTATCATAAAAGCTACGCTTGGAGATCGCAATGTTCTAGTTTATCAGAGGGCCAAGCACGAATAAATATCGCATTCGTATCGTAACAGTATCGAGCGAGTTAAGCGTTTTGATTGGTTGGTTCACTTGAGCCGGCCAATCAGAGCGCCGAACGCGCTCGATACTATTACGTTACGAATGCGATAGTTATTCGTGCTTGGCACTCAGAGAGCCCTGCTACCAAGTTTCTGTGAAATATGCACATTAAAAACAACATATAGAAACTTCATTCTTACTAATATTATAAATTGGAAAGTGAGTTTGTTTGTTTGTTTGTTCCGCTTTCACGCCGTAGCTACTAAACCGATTGCTTTGATTTTTTGCAGACGTAAAGTTAGAAGTCTGGATTAAATAATAGGGTACTTTTTATCCCGGGAAAATTTGATATTCCCGAGGAAAAACAAAAGTATTGGTATAGATGGCGCTGTGTGTATTGGTATATATCATATATGCTACTTTTTATCCTTTTGTGACTCGAGCGAAGCCGCGGGTAGAAGCTAGTAAGCTATAATTCTTTACCATTCAATTCATTTTATCGATATAGCAGTAAGTAATAAATGCGTTAATACTCTATCATTAAGCTTGCAAATCTCTCAGCTTTCTTCCTAGTTTCTTGCTACTTTCTCTGACGATAAGAAACAATCAAGTCGTATTAATAAGTAGGTTTATACCTACGTATATGCCTCCATGGGCTTATTACCATTTTTCTCTCGACAGACCAGTTCAATACTGGCTCATTCACCCCAGTAACACAATATGTGATTTATTCACACGTTCGAAACTCGTATTGTATAACATAATGCATTTCACGAACAAAAACATAGTACATTAACCTGCCATAATTGGCCATCGCGGTTATCATCGCCTCATTCAAACTATTATCATAATGAAATCATTGTTCGCAAAAATCTGAAACTTCTGTGTCAGTTGGCAAGCATTTAAAGAATTGGGTAGTTTCCAGGGTATCAAAATTAAAAATCTAATTAGTCCGTCAGTTAGATAATGAAAAAATATTAGACACGTATTTTTTTTATTTTCTCGTATTAAGTTAGTTGCAATACTTAGATAAAATGGCGCTAAGTTTAGGAGTTAGGTTGTTACGTCACAACGTGCTACAAAATGTGGCACGCTGTGACGTCACACGATATTTCAAATTAATATATCGTCGAAAGTAAGTATTTAATTTTGTGAGAAAAGAAAAAATACGTGTATACAGATTTAAATTAATGTACCAGACGGACATTAAAATAAAATTAATAAAATAGGAAACTACCCTATTTTTGTCGGTGTTTGTAGGTACAATGGTATTATTTGCTTACAATATTAACTAGACTCAACGCAGTTGTTTGTCTCATCCTGTGCAATTGTCGGCATAAGATATTAAGTCTCACCAATCTTCCTTATAGCTAAAATAGGGCATGGAAAAATGCCTTGTTGGCCGAGTGTTCATAAGTGCGACTGCCGAGCAAGGGGTCTCGGGTTCGATTTCCGGGTCGGGCAAAGTATTACTGAGATTTTTTTATTAGTAGCAAGGAGTCTGGAATTGTGCCCAGTATATAATGGCAATAGGCTCACCCCCTATTTCATGGGACTCATAACATAAATAGTGAAAAGTGGGTGTTACATTATACATATAGTGGCAATAGGTAAGTGCCGTAATGTGCACCTTTACCTACCTCTTCGGGGGTAAAAGGCGTGATGTCATGTCTGGACTAAAGTCAATCAACCATCAAAACGAAATCTTTATCAGTATTTACCCTCCTGCCAAAACATTATGCAAGATTCCACCTCAATTCCCGTATTGCACGATGTTTCCGATGCCTTTAATCTTGTACCACTGTTTATTGATACTGTGTCACAGTTTTCTGTATCATTGTGCACATGACGCGATGCCCTCATTTTAAAATTTAATCTGTTTCTAATATTTGGAGCTGGTCCAAGAACGTCACTACCTTCATTGCCGAGGAACGATGGGTCTTTGGAAATTAACTTGCCGTGAACAGTTAGGTACGTGGAACACGTAAACGTTCTTAATATGTTACTGTCAGAAAAATCAGAATAAACAA